TCCAGCTACTCTGCAGAGGAAACTCATTTCAACCTCCTGGATCCACGATCTCATTCTTTCAGTCTCTACCCAGAGTTCATGACCAAAGTTGAGGGGAGGGACGTAAACTGACCGGTAACCCTCTTCACCTCAACGGACCGGCACAGAGTCCACAATACTGCAGACACTGCACCAGTTCGTCTGTCAATCTCACGCTCTATTCTTCCCTCACTCATGAACAAAACCCAGAGATACTTGAACTCCTCCACTTGAGGCAGAACCTCACCCTCGACCTGAAGAGGGCGTTTACCATCGGGGCAAACTGAGGTCGCTGATTGGTCAGTTGCTAACGAGCATACAGGATTGATTGACAGGTGGCATTGAGGATCCGCGTCGTGCAAAAAAATCATAGATTTTACTGGCCCGTTTAAGTGACATCGTTCCATATTTATTTCAAATTTATTCAATATTTCAGTGAATTTAAGATTTGAGAAATGAACTTCTTCAAAAAATCCTAATGGATTAATGGATTAATGAATTAATGGATTAATGGATTAATGGATTAATGGATTAATGACGGTTTCTTCATTTTTCAGGGGTGCTGAGTTAAAATGTAGGGGTGCTTGAGCGCCCCCAAAAGAGGCTAAAATCGCCCCTGTGACAAAGAAACGTTCTCCGGCGGACAAGCATTTCTCTGTTTTTCTTTTCTCATCAGTTTTCTGATCTCCTGTTTCTTCCTTTGTGTGCCTCTTCTCATTTTCAGTCAAGCTTCAGTTTATTCTCACATTTCTGTTCGCTCCTCATCGCCGTGTTCGTCCCAACAGCTCATCATTTTTCACATCGAAAACTTTGTTCAATTAATAATGTTTTTTCTTGAATGTTTTCTTTTTCTTTTTCTTTTGCAGCAAGATCTCCAGGTGAGCAAGAGTGACTTGGGAAGAAATTTCTATCTCACTTTATCTGTTTTCAGTGGATACATGTTTTTTGATAATAAGTGTCTTTTTTTGTTTTTTGTCTGAAGTCTGGTGCTGTTTTCTTTAAACCATGCATTTTCTTTTGATTTGTTTCGTCTCTAGTCATTGTCTTTTTTTAATGAAATTTGTCCTTTTGGGAAATGTGTTTATTATTTATTGACGTGTTCTTTAACACAAGTACCCAGCTTGTTATACATTTTAATATGTTTGTCCACTGCAGTAACGAAATGTCGTCTAAGAGTTAATGAAAACTCAGTTTGTGCATTTTAGTCTTTGTCTGGTTGTGACGTGATGAACAGTCATTGGCTCATTTCTGCCTCAACACCAAAGGACAGAAAATACTTAGTCTGGAAAAGTTTTTTCAAAAATTATCTCTTCAGAAATTGACGCTAATATTTTATAGAGATTCATTACAGAGTTTAAATATCGCAAGACTTTATTTCTTGTAGTTTGGATGAATGTGGCTTACGGATAATGAAAACCCAAAACTCTGTGTCTCAGAAATTCAGAATATTGTGATCAAGTTCCATATTGGGGTAGAGGCATCCGACTCGGGACCTGAAAGTCCCAGGTTCAATTCCCAGCCATTCCCACATGTCGTGGTGTCTCTGAGCAAGACACCCAAACCCGAACTGCTCCCTGGGCGCTGACACAACTGCCCACTGCTCCACTGGGTGTATCCCAGCTGTGATGGGTTAAATGCAGAGAACTAATTGTATGGGAACATACAATGATGACAACACGTAGCACTTATTATTGGAAACTCGTGCGCACCATGCACTGATGAATCATGGCTGCAAATGTTGCGTTCCTCAAGTCGAGTCACTCCTGAACCAGAGACGACATCAGAAGCAACCTAACTGGGCTAAGGAGGAAAAGAACTGGTCTGCTGCTCAGTGTCCAGTGTCCTCCTTCCAGACGAAAGTAAAATTTACATTTCATTTGGAAACCAAGTCCCAGAGGCTGGAGGAGTGGAGAGTCACATAATCTATGTTGCTGTTAGTTCAGTGTGAAGTTTCCACAGTCCGTGATTTGGGATAATCATAAAAAATACAAGAAATAAAGACACAACATTTCACTGTATGTAAAGAATCTATATATTATTCAGTTCAATTCAGTTCAGTTTATTTACATAGCTCCAAGTCACAGCTTACTCCAAAGTGGAACAAACCAGTTCTGCTTGTGATAAGACCATCTTATCACAAGCAGAACTGGTTTGTTTCACTTTGGAGTAAGCTTGTTGGGGGAAGAATCAGTTTTGTTGTGTGTTTCCTTGACTGATGAAGCCTTCTGGATCGAAGGCGAAACGTTTCAGCACAAAAAAAGAAACTGTCCAGATGACCTGACTGAAAAATGTCGGATATAGGATTTATCAAACAGGAAAGTCTTAATCCCAGTCTTCAAACTGGACAATGTGTCAGCCTCACGGACAGAAACTGGAAGTTGGTTCCACAAGAGAGCAGCCTGAGAACTGGAAGATCTTCCTCTTATTCTGCTGCTGGAAACTCTAGGAACCACAAGTAAACCTGCAGCCTGAGAGTGAAGTGCTCTGTTAGGAAAATATGGAACAATAAGATCTGTAATATAAGATGGAGCTAGGTTGTTGAGAGCTTTGTAGGTTAGAAGTAAGATTCTAAATTCGATTCTGGACTTGACAGGGAGCCAGTGGAGAGAAGCTAAAACTGGAGAGAGATGATCTCTCCTGTCAATTCCCATTAAAACTGAGTTGTAGCCATTTTGTGTTTACTGAGGTCAATAAGGTGTGGCGGCCATCTTGAATCGGGTTTTCTCCAGACGTTAATCAGATGCACATCCAGTGAGAGTTGCAGTAAAATTTGTCCACTGGGTCATGTGGTATTTTCTGTTAATTTATTCCAGATTTTAGATAATTATAAACTGCAAAATCTTTGTGTTTAAAAAAACAAAACATTTGAATCTATTCAAACCCCTTTGAATTAAAGCTGAAAGACTACTGAAAGACTACTCCTGATCATTTATTGAAGGGGCAGTAATGAGCTAAATCTATGTTCCAAACAGATTTTAATTACAAGAACACTGAAAGAATTCGTACCAAGACCTGAACTTGCACAAAAGTTTTCTGGATCCCCATTAAAATGAAAAGGGCCTTCCTGTGTCTGTGCTACATCTTCATACCTGCAGGTCACCTTTGTTTCTCTTTGCTTCTTGCTGTGGTGGAAAAACAGGTGAACTGAGAGGGTTCTGCTCCTCTAATTCTCCATCATTATGAGAAAAGTGAAACGCAGCTTACACTTAAAATGTCTCGTAGTTTCTGCTCACTGATGATTATATGCGGTTTCATTCTTGCTTCTTTCTTTCCTCCTCCAGCCAGGTCTCCAGGTGAGTCTTCACTGTAATCTTTATGAGCTCTGCATGCTGCATCTGATCTCTTCAAGCCTTTTTTTGTCACCCTGGTATATGTCTAACCTGGTGTCCACTGACTCCGCAGCCCCGCTGGACCAGCCCTCCTGTCGTGCGCTGTACGACTTCGACCCTGAGAACGAAGGGGAGCTAGGCTTCAAGGAAGGCGACATCATCACCTTGACCAATAAGATCGATGACAACTGGTATGAGGGGATGCTGCATGGCAACTCTGGCTTCTTCCCCATCAACTATGTGGATATCCTGGTACCCCTGCCCCAGTAAAACACACCAGCTGGGTCCATGACATGTCCCGGCCTTTCCACGTCCACAGTATTCCCAACGAGCTTCTCCTGAAAAATTCCTACAAGTATCCTTCACTTCTCTGTAAACAGAGCTGAGACAGCGACAACACAAAAACAAAGATGTGAACAAGGTGGTCAAGTGCGATAACTGAGTGTAGTAACGTTTTGAAAAAGAGAATAAATCTGCGTGGATTGTTTTGCGTCTCCTTATCCCAGGAGGTCCTGTAGTCACTCCCGCCCTCCTGTTTCTGCTTCTGTCTCAGTTGGCTGTCCGTCCCTCACGAGTTGACCATCACAGCAACTCCTTCACTCATTCTTTGTCTTTATCAAAGTAAAGTAGACGAGGCTTTGTTCCCTGCATGCTTTAGGCTCATTAGCAATTTAAATCAAGCACGTAGTTTAAACCATTTTTGGTTTTGTTATTAAAAAGACACGTTGAAGTAGCATTTGTTTTAAATATTTTTTCTTGTTTTGATGGTTCATTTTCTGACACGTGGAAGCTTTTTATTTATAGTGCACATTCCAGTCCCGCCCTGAACATGTTGTTTGGAGGAGATCCAGCTAAAGTTCTTCAGTTTGCATCATCATCGTCATCACATGTGAAGTTATCACAGAAACTGTAGCACATTTCCACTGCATTGATCATTAAATGAAACAGTTTTGACACCTCGATTCTGATTGACAGCAAAGTCAGGGTTTATTGTAGAAACACTGTGGATGTCTGAACAGCACAAGACCGAATGGAGACACCCCCCACCCCCAAAAACCCCAACTAGCTCAGACCTCCATTTATACCTTTCCGTGTGCGTTGGAGGCTTGTACAAGTACAGTTGTCCACTGTACGCCCAGATGTTCTGACACCTTGTTACTTCTCGTAAGAATAACACAAAATACATTTTTAAAGAGGAGGTCAGTTTGACCCACAAGCATGAGGGCCCACATTGAGGGGCCCTCTTATTACAAGTGATTGGTCCACACATTTCATAACTCGTCAATCAACACATGCTAGTTGATTGGTCATACACAAAAACTCGAATGGATCATGTTTCTTATTTTATAGTACACATCTGAGCCACTTGAGTGATTCAAAAGACCGATTGGGTCGTTGCTTTAAGTATTTAAGAAATAATCTCCTCCAGGATCTCCTCCATCTTGTCCACCAGGATGAAACGTGGGTTTGTTCTGAAGCTGCACGTCAGTTCGCTGCTGTTACCTCACGTTGTTCTGCAGTTTCATACGGTGATGCCCGACGTGGACGGAGGGAAATAAATTGTGCAAACTGTCAAAGGGATTGAGGTTACTTTTTTTGGTGTGGATTTTTTTATTTGAAATGATGCAACTCACATGAAAAGCCTAACATTTAGTGGTTATATGATGAAAACGAAAACATTTGTCTTTTTCCATTTTGCACTAAAATTTAAAAACTCGAATCATGTTTTATTTAATCAACTGGGGGGCTTGACTCACTCATCATCTGAGGCTTGATTCTCTTACACACTGGCAACGCATCAAACCTTCATCGTACCAGTCAACACTTTGTTTTCATGTCAGTACTCTGCACAGATTCCTAAATTCAGGGTGTGGGTTTAGGTTTGTGTTCAAATTATGCACAGGATCAGGGTCACGGACGACCTCTGCTGCTGCTGAGGAGTTTAAGATTTACTGTCTCTGGCAGGGTTCACATCACAATAAACAGAAAATCACTTCACACCACTCAGCTACAATAAGAGATGCAAACCCAACAGATGTTAAGTGTTACTTTTTATTTGTTATGAGGAGGCACAACTCGTAACGGGCGGTGTTTCTCCTTCACTACAGAATAAGTGATGCAGTGTGAGCAGGTCATGTATTGATTAATTTTAAAAGCAAAATAAGATCTTTGTTTTTTTGCTTTCTTTTATTTTTTATTGTGTCTATCTTTGCCCTCAATGAGGACTGTACAGCTTTCTTGTGTGTTTTGATTTCACCTTGTGTGTATAGTTGCGCATCGACAGTAACGTATCTTATTTTTGTAACTGTGACTAAAGTAAACACATACAGTATAGGTGTATTTATAAATATATATGGACTGATATATATATATATATATATATATATATATATAT